GATAACACATCTGGTATGGCAGACTTTAATTCCTTGTTATAAGATCGCTCCGTCCTGTTTGTACGAAAAATAGAGCAGGAGATTATTAGTCTTGATTTGCCAAATGGGGATCCCGAAGTCCAAGTTTCAATTTGATTTGACCTCATTTCAATAATGTTCTCCTGCATTGTCGCGGAGTAATTCTAGAGCTGTATTTAATTCTTCCTTGGTCTCTTCTCTAATTTGCTGAGCTTCAACTTACCAATCGTAGTGGTACCCCATCGTAGCCCAGCTCAGCTTCTTAAACGATCGATAGCTCTTCTGGCTAGTCTGCTGCAGCTTCCGCCTCTTTGATCCCTTCTTCCAGCCAATATTCCCCTCTTTTTCGTCTTCGCTTTTCTTCCATAACTCCCACATGGACTCGTCAAGATTGCGGAATTCGGATTGCTTTGGAGGACAAAGATCGATGTTTGTGCGATGTGGTGATTCACAGAATACTGTCACGCACTTGAATGCAATGGCTGTCTGCAATTCCTCTGACAATGCTTGTGGGGCGAACAGAAATCCAGGGAAACCTTTCAGCCCATAGATCGGGCCTTCGTACAGTCCTTCTCTATGACGAAGCCGCTCGGGGATTTGTAATCTGATAATGCGATCATCTGCCCCTAACCCAAAATCAACAACGCCTGGTAGGTCATCCGTGCGGCACGGGTTCTTTCCCTGTCTTCGGTGACGTATCTGTGCTTGCTTGAATGCAGAGACGATACCAGTAGCCTCGTTGCCTTGTCTACTCATGCAAGAAAAGAGAAAACCATTTCTTGTGTGGCTCTCGGTGTGGTGGGTTATTGGTGGTTTGGTACTTGTATAGCCCTTTTAAAAGTGCGTCAGCGCGCTTTTTAGTCTATGCGCGCAAACGCGCGAAAATTTTGAAAGTGATTTTCACAATCTAACGATGGTTATCATGCTCAAATAAGTACAAACCTGGATAAACCTGTTGAGATAATCCTGGGAACTAATCCTATGGGTTGTTGGAATTTGTTTAGGCAAAAAGAAGTGGCGAAATATGCTTTGGAGTTAGAAAATAGCAATTTTGTAATTTCCGAAAATCGATTTGCAGTTTTGCCTATCTACTGACTTTTCAGTTGCCTCTAGGCTACCGCCACACACTTAATATTTTTACTTTAATGCACTCACTATAGACGGGTAGGGAACGTTATGGCTTGAAAGTTATTGTATGCTTCTCCGCAATCCATTGTTTGATCCACCACGAAAACTGCCAAATCGACTATCTGCACAAATAAGCTCAATTTGGAGAATCTTCTTGCAATAGTACTGAGTCTATACTTGGATATAAGATCTAATAGAATAGAATATTGAATTTTCCAACAAGGCTATTGGGAGGTCACAATCCACCATTGTCAATGGTTTCGGAAATCAATGTATCGAACGAGTCGATTCGTTTGAAGAAACCAAATTGAAAAGATGGATCAGGACAACCAGCAGACGATGTATATAAAAGGGGATGATTTTGTTTTTGTTCATCACTTGTCTGCAAACCCACCGACAGTTGTATATTTTAACAGTATAGTATCTGGATTGGCATACGCAGGCGAAATGCTATTTTTCTGTTCACGTTATTGTTGTACCGGTATGACGGATCCTGGTTTCTCTGCGACATCATGCACTGCAAACGTGCGTTAGCAGTCGCGTTCTCCCCTCTTGTTTTCCCCTGCTGACGCGCACTC